TCATTGGGGATGTTTTGCACACGAGGCATCTTGAATCTCAACAAACTTACCCATTATATGCATTATGCATAAATATTCTGTTGTTGCGCATGCACATCGACCTATTATGTGCAACGTACGTGGGTTTATATCGTGTTCTATACACTTTACATGAAGAACGGTCTGTAATATTTTGCCAATTATATACATATTACAGCGTTATGTCGAATCATTAACGATATCGTATTCGATGATGTTTCAAACCGTTGTTACTTCTTTCATTGATAATATGCATACGTTACTAATTATGCTTCGTGATTATTTCGCGCAACTCGTAAATTTGCAGAACAGAATAACAATTTCGTCAATCAGGGCTATTTCATTTTAATAATTAACCTTAATATTAGGAATGCCAATAATTGTTTATTAAGCTTTAATATTATTGGAGCATGGGTTATTTTGTGCATTATTTACATTCTCGTTCGTTGTATTTCATCAGCCCTTCGAGCTTACCACTCCCCTTGCAGTTGCTTTCTGCAACGCTACGAGAACGTAGTCTATTTTAGTCTTTATTTACTCTTTATTATCTTCTTTATCAAACAGGTTGCGTGTCAATATATCGATAAATCGCTGTCGGCAAAATCGCCAAGCAGTTTCTATTTCTAGGATTAGAACATATACGCGGAATTATCGGCGAGGTTTGCCCTTTCAGGAATATACGGTATACAAACAATGCAATGTACTTCATTGTGGGACAGGTGGGATATCTATATTTAGAAAATTGATTTGTCAATATCACATTTCGATGTGAGCTTCTCAGTAAAAGAAAAATCTCGACTCTTCAATATTTAATAATGTTAGACATAATATATACTAAAACTTTTACGTTACTTTTGGTGGACATGTCGGTGACGCGTGCTGCCTTATTTTTCTTTAATATCTTTCCTTCAATGAAATCAATATAATTCTCTGAATAATCTCTGATAAATGTTGTGATTTTTTATTCTCGATGAAAAAAAATAGCCATTTTTTCAAAACCATTTTCAAATCTGTTAAAAAAATGTATTTTTTAGGCATTATTTTTTCGATAAACATAACGCTTGTAAAACATTGCGCTTTCGAGGAATTAAATAATAATATTGCAAGATGTCAAAAAATATGCGTTACTTTATATTAATGCACGTATGCACACATCACTTATATAAATAAATAAGTACTCGCATATGCTTTACTAAAAGGAATTTCCTTGGAACGATCATAAAATGGCAATATCGTAAAAAAAAACATAACGCTTCTACTAGGTTTTCGGTATATCATAAGAAACATATGTCTAGGACTTAACCGGTTTTTATCGATGGTCTGCAACTCTTATTCCTATATAAGGCAAACGATCACCGTGGGAGTACCTCCCCGAATCGTACGATGGTTTCGTCGTACTTTCGTTTTATTTTTCGCTTTTCCAACATGAAGTCAATCTAATGGAAGAGCTAAAAGTGGAGATGAGAAATCGCGGATGATAATGAAATGTAGAAGATTTCTTTAAAAGTCTTCTCTCCGTCTTTTCTATCTTGCAGTAATCAGGCCGATTCGATTTTGAGACGCACCGATATCTATATACATGATATGGACGGCACGGCAGAGATAATTGACATACAATATTTATCTCCGTCATTTGCTCATTAGAGCTTTCACACACGCGGCATTTACAACTTTTCAATTATTTGATTATGATCATATGCTAACATAATTAATTAAAATATAATGGAGAACATTATTAGATACATATATAGATGCAATTTTATGCAGAAGCGCGTGTGTATATAAATCAGACGTGTATTATTTCTTGTATATACAGAATATCCCAGAACTGGCGGATAAGTGTTTAAATGTCGAGATACCAATAATTTTTGAATTATAAATAATTGAATATAAAGACTTTTTTGGAAACTAAGCCTTATGGAAATCAAATATTGACAGAATTTACATTCTTTAGTTAATTTTAGATGGAGTTTGCTTTAACAGAATTTTAATATAAGGCTTAGTTATAAAGATACATAATAACAAAAATTAGGAACATGCTAAAAATGATGGCCTCTCTCAACATTTTCACTAAGGAAAAATCGTCTCCAAATGATACCATCAGGAATCTGCCATTAAAAACTTTCGTCAGTTCTGGGACACCCTGTATAGAGAATCGCGACTTACAAATGTAACATTAAATCTAAAAACATCTGATGATTTTTTGTATATAATTACGGGAGTAATTGGTCGAAAAACGGTTTCGACGGCCTTGAAGCAGTCGCTTATTGTCGATGACAATTCGCGTGCGCGACATTGCGTGCGCCAATGCGATTTACTGGCATTACATACGCAGTTACGTACGAAACGATTGTTTCTGTTCGAGTGACACTGACGTGACTCTAAAGGATGGACTGAGCGCGTGCGCTAATTATCTACTTGTTCGGGCACTCGTCTGTAATCACTACGAAACGAGAGGATCGTGAGATGCAGCTCGAAGAACTTGTACCGCGGGATGTGCCGTATCGAAATGCCGATTTGCGATCAATAAATTACTACGCGGGTCGTTTACAAGCTTTCAAAAGCGCTCATTCCGCGAGTTGAGTATGCACTTTGATGCATCGCGCTTGCTTTTGTAGTGGAGAAGTTCAATCCGCACTCATTGCCCTACAGGGAAGTCTGTTTATTTCGCTACTCGCGATTCGCAAGGACATTCGAATATCATTAATGTGACGATTGACTGGTAATGATAATAGGAATATTATAGTCAAGTGCCATCGTCGCGCTGTAACCTTTGTGTATAGTCTATAATATAAAGAATTCAATTATCGAACGATAACGAAAAACGTGGAATGCAATATCTATAGGAGCTCCTGATGCGCTGTAACAATGAGATAAAATGATTGTAATATATTCAGTGATAAACTTTGATCTTGGTTGAGGGTTGGAACAATAAAAAGTGGCAAAGTTTATTGACATATAATAACAATTGTATATCTTTGATATTTAAATATATGTCGATCTTGATAATACAACATAAAGTCGATCGTAATAATGTAATATAAAGAGAGATAAATCAAGAGAGAAAAGAATAATTGTTATATAATAATATTACACGTACTTTCGCGTCATGGTTTTAATTTAGCATGCTTAATACTAATTATATTTTATTTATGATATGCTTGTGTGAGAAATTATTGTCATGACTAATTTTTGTCAAGCAATATGTTCAAATTTGAAAATTTAAGAGAAGCGATAAAATCATGCGATGGCCATTTATTCTTTACGGACAACAACGTTGTGATTTATGGCTCACGGTATTGCCACAGGATCGATCGTGAATAGAAGAGAATGCTTTATGGAAAATATGTGGCATAATATGTGGTAATCGATATACGCGAGTATCAACCTTCTTTCGCAAAGATTTTTAGCGTTGTAATGTACAATAATATGAGAACAGTTATATTAGTATATTGACAGGAGAAACAATATTATATTTATATTCGGTGCAATATCGAAAGATTAATTAAGACGCAATTAATTAAAGATTAATTAATTATCGCACAAACAATACGCAGGGAATTTAATAAAATATGCACATCAAATAATACACCCACTATTTATTTGTATTTCGAGGCATTTTAATCAAGTTATGATACATTTGTGATATTAATTACTATAATATAATTGGAATATATTTATATTTTCCCCGAATTTAAATGTCAAGTTCTAGAACTGAAAGAGCACATAAAGTAGACAAGTAAATAGCTTCGTTAAATCCTCTTTTCGAGAGAAACGCCGTGTAGATAAAAACACGTAAGCCAAACATAACATCTCATCTAGCAAAGATCCGATTTGCGAGTTGGCGATTATCGGCCTTGGAAGTAATTAAACTTTGCTGCTTTGTGCCTAGCGTTATCATGGACGAGTGTAATTGGTCTATCAAAGGCTTGGCAAAGAAATTAACTCCGGCAGGATACATACGTATACATTGCAATAAGAAATAAGAAACGTATTTCTCGAGTGTTTAACTAAAGGGAAGGCGCGATAAAAAGTGGATTAAGGACAAATGCTATTAAAAATACGATTATAATAAAATAGGATGACTTTACTATTAGTTTATAAAATTATATCTTTGCGTATCACCGACATGAATTATTATCATAGTTATGTTGTCCTATTATTAACTAGTTGTAATATATAGCGATGACTGTAACATATACACATTTTGCGTAATTGATTCGGATCATTTGAACCATGAAGTTGACAAACTATACGTCGACGTGTGCGTGTGTGTTTGAGCAAAGATAAAATAGAAAATGCATATATTCATACTTTACCGGCACTCTCTCCGTGAAAATTCTTCTTATCCTCCATCTTATCACGCGATATGGCAACTGTTATCGATTTACGGTGACACTAGGTATATCAGTGGTGGAAACATCAGTGGCAATGCCATAGGACAATCGCATTCTGATCTATCGGGTGAGATTGGTCGAAAACAAAAAAAAGTATTCGGCCGTTACGAGAGCACTCGCGATGTAAATGAAAGTGCGCGCGAGAGAAGGAGCCAGATAGATAAACAAATCGATAGATAGATGGACAGATACATGGACAGACATATATAAATAGATAGATACGTAGATAGATTGTATCTATATATAGAGAGAGGCAAAAGAGACGCGCATGTATCCGCGTGAACCACATCGTACAGAGAGAGAGAGAGAGAGTCGATGATGGTGGTGATGCGTGGCGGGGGTGTGTATGTGTGTGTCTGTAGGGGGTGACCTAATTTTTGCAAAACAGCCGGGGCTGCGGATCCGCCGCCGGTCCGCGGACTACTAGTAGCGGCGCTGGTAGTAGTCGTGGTGGTAGTCGGTAGCATAGATACCCGCTTCCCCTCCTCGTTGTTCACCGTCGTCGTTCAGGCACACGGAAAATCCGTCGCTTTTCCGGATGCTACGGCACTGTGCCGCGGCGTCGCCGCCGGAGAGAGAGAGAACCCTTTCGTCAGTTGGGTCTCGGCCGCCGTCAACGTCAATACGACGAAGGCGCACGAGAGTACATCGCCTCGGCTCCGGTTAACGCCGAGGCACCACTCGGCGTTCATCGACGGGAGGAACGCGAGGAACCTGGCCCATATTTTCGCACATTTCGCGCTACGTCTCTTCCCCCAATTGCATCCCACTATTTTCCCGATTTTTCAACATTTCCGACTCCATCTTTCCCCTTTCTCTCTCTTTCTCTCTCCCTCTCGATTTTTTTCTCTCTTCATCTCCTTTCTCTGTATGCACTTCAATACGTTCGCGTTCCAACATCAGTCTACCGGTGCATCGCAAACGGTCCTGCGTTGATGTGCATCGTGAGTGGCGCCGATAGTGGATGATGACATGTATAGTGGAGGACGCATTGTTCAGGTGTGATTGAGAGAGAAAGGCTAGATTCGTCTGCTTGATGCAGTGAGGGTATGGCCGGTGGTTACTACGTTTCTTGCGGGATGATCCTCATGGGAGTGCCCGCGAGTGCTGTCTTCGAGTGCGACGGCGGCGACGGCGGTGGCGAACACGCCGGATGTGTATAGAGAAGAGAGAATGTTCAACGTTATAGTAGGTAGTATCGACGCTACTCGCGTTATACTCACCCTAGGAGGGAGATGGATGCACGGCTTTGTCGAGACTCACAACATTTGTTTATCTGTCGACACTTGTGCAAATTCACGTGCTATTGTTGTAACAACAAACGCGTATGTGTGTGCGCTATCGCGAATGTTCGAGCGGCGTCAAGCGGGCAATTAGATTTTCCGCCTTGTGATAATTGATCGAGCAAATTTTGCTCGCTTTTTTTTTTTTTTTTTTTTTTCGTTCGACAAGCACGAGAAGGAATTTAAATTTACTCAAATTTGTTCGCTTTTGAAAAAGGAACAAAGGAGGATTTTTTTTTTTTAGATTACTGTTACGCGCGAACGTTATAAGGTTGATGAATAACGTTTTTTGATTCAATTGCCTAATGAAAGAATGTAAATTTTTTTGTTTGTGCAAAATCATTCTCTCTCTTTGTGATCTATATACGTTATCATGGACGTTTAGTTAAATTTACGTAAAAGCAATTAAACGTTTCTCGCGTTTCTGATAAGTGGCGCGAGAATGCGCGATATTCGACTTTTTACTGAACAATGAGAAGGTATCGAATCAAACAAATAAATTGATTTATTGGTCGTTTGATTTCAAAGAGAGGGACAAGGACGAGAGAAATAATAGGAACGATTTCTTGTTAGAGATTCCCCTATTTTAATTCGCTGATAAAATATATATAATCCCTGTAGTAACGAAAGTTTAAAGACTTTCTTATCTTTTCTTGATTGAAGGAGTACAGAAATACACGTCTCGCGATTATTGCGTCTATTGATCATGGATATCTTTTTTCTATCGATATTATATATAACATAAATGATAATTCATATATTTTTTACTTTCTTTAAATAAAACCAATTTTAATTTGTACGGTATAATTTGCCGAATCAAAATTTTAATCGAAAAAGAAATTGATCGCATTCTAAAATCCATTTCGTTCTTTTCTTAAATATACTTTGTGCGCGACATTAGATTTCGTTTAAAAAAATGGGGCGTCCTTATGAATGTATTGGAAGATTTATTCGGGAGAATTGATTACTCTCGATGGGTATTGTAATGACCTTGTTAGCGGAACTGAATTCTCCAGCGATTTTTTTTTAATTCAATAAAAAACGTGTTCGTGTATCGATTCTTGCGATATGCTCAACAGAGAAAGCGTTATTAGTCTTCTGAAAAGTTAGATAAATGGATGAGATGGTATTCTTTTTTATAATAATTTTTCATTCACGTTTCGAGTTTTTTATTTGCTAGCGAGATTAACGGGACGCACGCGCTGTTGCATTATCATGACTTTGAAGTAATAAACAAATTTATTTTGCAAACAACGTATTGTTTTCTCTTGAAATACGATAGACATGCGGAAATATCGTTTACTTTAATATATCGAAACATATTTTAAATAATATTATTGATAAATCTTAACGCTCTTTTTTTAAAAAAAGAAGGTATGTTTGCACGTTTATGTTAATATTTAAAATAAAACTGGGAAATTTGAAAGAAAATTGTGATATATATATATATATATATATATATATATATTTGAATATACATTTTGTATGAATTGTTTGAATTAAATTATTAAATTATTAAAATATTGATATATCATCGTAATGAAACTGCTGTTATGACTATAAAATCATAAAGGTATGATTGATAATCTATTGCCACGAGACCCGCAATTATAAATTATGATATAAACTTGATTTTCTCTCCTATCGATTTTCCTATCTAGCAGTTTGTCCTCGCTTCGATGCACGATGAACAAAAGTTTTCTTAGTTTTGTCACTACGAACTTTTTACGAAAGGACCGAAAACATCTTCAAGTTATTCTTGGACCATTACTTTTCTCTGTCCGCTAGAACACATTCGCAATATGATAACGTCGCGAGTAGGTGAATTATTTCTGGAATCGCAAGACTTTTATATTCTATTAATCTCAAGTTTTTCGAGTGTATCGATAAAAGATTAAACACACGGAATACTTTGTATGATTTTATTTGATATTTGAGTGTTTAGAAATGCCATAGCATGTCTACAGCTATTATGTTAAAATTAATTTTCTCATTATAATGTATAATTAATATAATGAATAATGAATAATTTAAACGCGGATTAGGTACAGATAAGAACTGTTTGCTTATTTAAAATTTTTTATAACTATATAATTATGTCTTTTCTTTACGCGTTCTTCTCTCTCTCTCTCTCTCTCTACCAAATTTATTCAAATTCATTCATCTACTCTATCATTATTTAGAGTGTTTTTCGCCGTCTGTCTGTGAATCAACATGCCTCTTTCTCATGGATTCGTGTGTGCATCACGTTCTGTTCTTCCGCGGTGAGATTTGCGACTCGATTGTCTGCGAAATTGAATATTCTTCTCACTTCAGTGGCATACGCATAATAGATGTTTCGCTATAGAAACCTTACCCAACGCTATAGAAATCTTATTCAACGCGAGAGGCGTATAAAAGTACGACATACATTTTAAATGTGAGGGATTAGAATTGTGAATTTTTTTAAAATCTAAAATAGAGACAAAAATACGACAAAATTATTGACAATATAATAAGATTAATATAATTAATACAGCATAGATTAAAATATAAAAATATAAAATCACACAGCCTACGGCAGCCTATAATACGCGATGACAGAATTCTATCAACTTTCAATTTTTACGAAGGACGGCTATTGTTACTTGTACTTTTATATCGTTACACACACACATACACGCACACATGGAAAAATGCGCGATATTGACAGGTTGCAAATGAAACAGTTGTGCAAGTGAAACAAACGTATGTTCGATCCGTCCAAGTCTGCGCTGCGGATGCAGCGAGATGATAGAGCCGGATCTCACGAGCACACCTGTAGTAAAACTGCAGCGTGCGTGCGTTCGCTATTGCGCAAGTTTCGCAGGGATCCGGGATCCAGAGAAGTTATACATTTATTCATGTTTTATTTTTCCCTCTAAAACTGCACGAACATGGTTTTCAATCCGTGTGCTTTCGAGCGGAAATATTTCTTGTATAATCTCGTTTTGTTGTTTCGTGACTCGAAATTGTTAAATTTTTGAGCGCATGAAAAAAAGATATGTATTCTTTTCGTGGTTCACCGGCCGGTTTTGTGTGTGGCATGATATATACGCATGATATATAGCGATCCAAGTATTCGAATGACATAAATCATTTGTACGTATGACATCGCATATACATGTATTTTAAATCTATATTTTTTTCGAGATTTTTATGATTGAGAAGTATCTTCGAAATTTTATATATAATCTCGAATCTCTTTAATTATCGTAATTATTAATGAGAAATTTCATTGTTATTGAATATGTGCACGTAAACATTCAAAACGCGGATAATCTTTTATTAAAGATCACAATTACAACAATGGCACGTATATAATATTGCAATTTCGACTATTAGTTTGATTAAAGAGTTTTAAAGCTAGGGATAAACATCATATGAAGCATTCAAAATGTATTTTCTCTAAATAATCATAGACTTTATATATTGTCACATATTGAAATATTTATTATTTTAAGAGATATTTTATTATTTTATTCGTTAAATTCCTGATTGCAAATAATTCGATTAATATTAAACTTTGAGTAAATATGAACTTTTTAATCGATACACACGTTTGGAATAATATTTAATGATGACTATCTTAAGCAAACTTACTTATTGGCAATTCAACTTTTATTTGAGTCGTAATAAAATTTTTAAAACCCGGCGTGGTTTATCGTTTCTCAAACTCGCCGAACGGAAACGCGTCACCGAGAAATTCAATAATATGTAGCTACAAATGTACCAGAGATATAATCTATATACAAGAAAGACGCTATTGGCTGTCGACAGATAAATGTCAATTTAAAGCCTACAGACGAGACATGGAACAAGGAGGATGGTCTTGTTCAGACGCCGATGCAGTAAATGCATCCTCAGTAGAAACAAACGTCACGCAACTCTACATGCATAGTTTCGTCTCTGCGTGCTACGATGTCGCGATTATTCTTAGAAGGATAAACATAAAGCTTAACAAGAAGTTAAATTCAATTTACACTTTCGAGCAGTTTTGTAGTTTATTCGGCCAATTTAATAGTTATATATATTACTCACGCACACACACACACAGAAAGCGCGATAATAGTTCCATTTAATTTAATAAAATTTTGTGATAACCATTATTTTTTTCTGTTTTAATTGTATATGTCGTGCGGATAATTTTTGAATATTTTAAATTGCGTGAATTAGAAATAATTACACACACAGACACATGAAAGCTGGATGATTAAATTCAAACGTTTGAGTGCTAAATGAAAGAAAAGTATAAATATTTATTTGAAAAAGTAATCCGATTAAGTTTGAAAGGTCGACTTCGAAAATATTTACGATATCGACACTTTTGTTACCACACAATCCGCGCGCATACTATTAATAATCCGTATATTGATTTACCTGAATCTATTCATAAGCGTTGATAACCTATCCTGCCACGCATATAGTTCGCCTCAATATTACGTGTTATCCGCGATCGTTTACCCATTATTGAAAAATGCTCTTCACTCTCTAAATAGGTTCGCATAATCAACCTCTTTGAGTTATTTTAAAATCCCGTAACTTTGTGCGTTTAATGATATATTTTATTTTATATTTCTTTGCAAAAACTTTAGTTAGATTACCATAACTCTTTTATCTTATAAATTGTGTTCTTTCAATTTTTTTTTGTTGAACATTAGAATGTTTTAATTTTTTATTTAATTATTTGTTTATTTATTTAATGTTATATAATCCATTTTTCTTTAATTTTTGGATAGTATTTTTGGTAAAATTGTAAAGAGTTTGCTATACAATATTTTATAAAATTACGCAAGAAAATAAATGAAAGATATAATTTAAAGAGAGATAACTCTAATTTTAGTAATAGTTTCGAGAATATTTTAATCTTGTATCGCTCGAAGTATTACCGAAGCGATTATTACACATATCCAAGATGCCAATGCTAGCAATTCATGATTTGTAGATGAACTTGGTATTATGGTCGTAAACGTTCCGTGCATGCGCATTAGCGCGTCGATAATTAACAACAATAGATGCATTTGTAATGCACTGATGCTATGCAGAGTATCGTATAACAGAAAATATTTTGTTCATTTGCTTCATTAATATTGTAAGATATTATTTCATGGCTTGTCTGATGAAATAATATCTTACAATACATTTATTGAATTTCTGTTCGGAAGTTTAATGAGTATAATTAATATTATTATTACGCGTACATAATTATATGTTATTTAACAAAATTATCCTATTTATGCATATAGAAATTTAAAGTAGGTCGCAATATCTAGAAATCATGGGTTATATTTGCTTTACGCCTTTTTTTACGTCAAGTAAAATAATGGTTCGTCAACGTTTTGTTTGTGAGAACAAGATGTGATTTGTGATGAATTGAGAAATGAAAATCAAATACGGTATATTTAATTTGATTTCAGGATACCATACATCTGTGCATTTTATAACCTGCAATCTATTGTACGAGATACAATGATTTATGTTCAATTGCTTCTCGCCAAATAAACGTTAATGTAAATATATATCGCGGCTTACTCGCATTCTCTTTTGAACTATTGTTATCGGATCCTGTTATTATGCTACATTTCATACGCAAACATTTCAATCCGTATAATATTTCATCTAAGTTTTTTTTAAATTCTTGATTTGATTATATATATATATATATATATACAATTTATATAGGTATATTTCAATTTATTAAACAAAATATTTTCCTATTTTTATTTTCCAAGGCATTTACATATATATAACAGAATTAAGAATGTATATTTTTCGAAATATTTATTGCAATTTCTCTTATTTATATCGGCACGAGAAAATATAATTATCAGAGCATATTTTATGAAATACAATAAATTTGCAATGTTACATCCTCATAACCTCGATTTAAACGAATCGACTATGAATTTCAAGTTCGTCTGCTTTTAGCAATTTTGTGATTTAATGGTTTAGGAAAAATTCTGGTAGATTGCGGGAAAATTAAAATTTTCGATTTAGAGAAGTGCAACGTTTACGTCATTCTTGATTACAGCAGTAATCGTCTAAAAGTTTGCTTATTTTTTCTTGCTCGGTAGTACTGAGAAAACAGGAAATTCTGTAGAGAATTTACGTTCACATTTTGTGAACGTGCTGAAAATTTTTTATAAAATATAATATTAGCATAAGAATAAAATAATAAAACAAAGGTGGGATAAAAAAAGCAAACTGGAAACACGATCAATTATTTTGATTATTACTTTGTACTTATTTTTAATGATACAAAATAATGATGGTTATCTTATTTATATTAGTTAGAATTTTATATGATTTTGCTCAGTTGAATTAAGTATATAAGGCGAAATCTTTATGATTCACTTCAATTAAGTAGAGTGCAAGGAAATATTTCGGGCTCGTGTATATTAAATTAAATTAATTTAATGAAGCACAAAGCCAATTAACATTTTCAGTCTCTGCCATTCAATGAAATTGCGATTGTTTTGTAACTTTCGCTCACAGCATTGATTATTTGGTAATTTAAGCGAAATGTTTACTATTTCGTTGGCGTCAGCCATTTCTGTATTTCTGCTGCTCGATGCAGCTGCCTGGTAGCGATATATTCTCGGGAGAGGAATGTAATTTACAATCTCTAAAGATGCTTTCATCTTTTATATTTCGCGGCTGGAGTTTCATAATCGTTCACTATCAACATTTCTGTCGTTATTGGTTTTCTTCTCAATTCTTTTGTTCATTTGTTATTTATTTTAAAATTAGATTATAGATTTGCATAGTAGATACTTAATATATACGTATAACAATTTGTATAATTTAATAGTAGTCGATGCCTAATTAAAAGTTTTATCAGATATCTTGGTGTTTTTAATAATACATTTTCACATAATTGAGAGATATGGGATGAATAATTAATTTATTATTAAGTACCAGCATTTGCATTTGTATATGTCTGGTGACATATGTGATTGTATTCGAGTCACTGATTAAGCATAAAATTATATTGCAATTGTGACTGGGAGTTATTGAAATATTTTGCATGATTATAAACTGAGCCTTAAATTATATTAATGTCCTTCATTCGCTCGCGTGTTCTATATATATACATATATATATATATATATATATATATGTATATATGTAACATATTCCATTTAGACCTCCTGTTCGATTTAATCCTTCTACAGTAGTTTTACAAATTCCATTACGTTAAAGTACTCCCTGTGCAGGATTTATAGCGGTGAGAGAAAATGCGCAACGACATTAAAACGCATTGCCCATAGCGATCGATCTCATCGATTTAACATAAAGTTCACTAGTAAATAGTAAGACGATGCGCGATTTGACACTTTTTTTATCAGAGTTATTCATTAATTCAACGTCTATTGATGAAAATGTATACACGCATACATACACGTACACAATAAAAGGAATACATAAAAAAGTCTTCAAAAATAATCAGTCAGATTTGACTTGACACGCAACAAGAGTTTTAAAAATGAGAAATATACATAATCGGCATTTTTATCGTCACGCCGAAATAATCTCCGTGAACATCTTTATTGTGCTCGTAACCTATTATAGAGCATAAATATCATGTGACCGGCGATTAAAAATAACGTTGACATAAATATACGCGCGTGTTGTTCATCGATTCATCGGCTAAATCGAACGCATTTCTCGTTGGATATGAGAAACCATAGATTCGCCGCTATCCAAGAAACGCGATTGGATCTTGTGTTGCGTGTTCGTCTTTTCGTTTTGCATAGCCTTCTCAAGGGAGTCACAGCCTTAACCTTTGCATTTAATTTACGACCTAGCGCTTCCTGACTAAAGAAAACCCTTGATAAAGTACCATTATTGAAATTAAGTGCACGCGCGCGATGGAACCTCTTAATTATAACGATCTTCTGATTATTCGCGGAAAATCCAAAACGGCAACCGATGGTCTATCTTAAAATGGAACAATGTACAATAATAGAAATGCAAAATAATATACAGTACTGTATAAAACATATACTTAATTTCTTCCATTTAAACATTTCCTTTATTTAAATGCTGTGAACGAAAAAAAAATAATATTTCAACATAAATATTTTCAATATGTGACATTATATTATACGCCGATTTTGTTAAAAAAACATGTGATATGTATATAGGTTTTATGTGATGTTTGTTTTTGCATATCTCCCTCGTGTGCACGATTATATTGAAATAACTATTATTACCATTATACAAAATGAGGAAACTTTGTATGAGCATCTCATATAGATCTTACTCGAAATTTTTTTACAGAACATCGATGTATAATAGTGCGAGCCAAATGTATAATAATTCTATGAGACTTATATATGAGCGCGTACTTCTCAACGATCGACAATCAATTTCGTGTTCTGCCCTGTCATCATCGCTCCAAGAGCCGATATATTCTTCGTTACCGGAAATCACCTAATGTGCTAAATACATTGTAATGAACCCCTTCTCTTACAAAGAGATATTTTTTTAGAATTCGTAAAATGAAAACAAAATGCAGCTTTGTGTAAGTGACTGCGTGTAATCGAGTAACGTTATCGTGTTGAGCGCAAAAGTCGACAATAACAGAATTTTGTTCTCTCGTGAACTTTTTCGCACTGATTTGTACATACGTCGTATCAAAATGACAAATTTGTGCGTACGAGTGCATTCGATCCGACGATTGCGTAATGTAAAAAATTACACGTGTTCTTTGACTATGGACCGAAACTTCTAAAATCTTTCGCGATGCTATAGCGTCGCGTTTTTAGCCTGATGTGGATAGGAATGATTTAATGATTGGAGTGATTACAACTTCGACGAATCGTTAATCGCAATGTGGTAATAAAAGAAATATGTGACATTTTAAATAAACTGCTCCGTAATTAATTTTATAATTTAATGTTTATTGTATGAAAGTAAAAATTGATTAAAGGAATTTCTGACGGGCTCCGACTTTGCTACATCAAAACTATTTTGCATGATAACAACAGTTGTTCGATACGATATAAAAGAAACTATGATCACGCCGATTAAAATATAAATATATAAAGAAGTAAAACGTTAGCGTGATCATAATTAGTTAACATAATTTTATACATTATTACACAGAGGGAAGAAAAAACATAATCGATAATAATACAATAGATTTAATAAGTAATAATCCATAGATTATAAAATTCATGAAAAGAGAGAAAAATGACGTAACGCTAAAGGAGTCTACATATGCAAATAATCAGCAACTTCTAAATTATATTACAAAGAGTGCGCGAAAAAACGTGCAAATGTTTAGTTGTTAGCTTAGTTGCGGTTTTTCATCTTAGAGTTTACCTAGCCGCGTTGAGTACAGTAGAGTACGAGAGCCAACGAGTACAAGACAAATTAAGAGCGACGAGCGAACTTGTTAGACGACGAAATTCCGCATGCTCAGTTTACACCTCGTTATACTTGGAGGGTTACTCTGGACCGAGAATAGTCGAATGAAAATATGCGTGAATGTCGTGGAAATGAGGAAATAAATTGGTTATGAAAATTCGTGCGCGAGAACAGTATTATTAATTTTGAGTTTCTTATGCAGAGGAGAGTAAAAATATAAGAGACAAATGCGCATTAACATTATTTTATAATATTTGAGATAATTTAGTGAAGGTGCTTATCAAAATTTTCGTGAGACTAACGTAGTAATAAAAAGTATCGATCTTTGTAAGACGCGATAAAATATTAATTTGTTAACGTACTGAATACATCGTATAAGTGTAAATCAAGAATATCAAGAGAAGGGATGACGGAATTTATCTGACATGCAAAGCGAGGATTTGAGAGCAGACATTTTCCATTAATCATTTTCTGGAATAAAGGGCAAAGTTGCTTGCGGTTAACAACCTCGGGCAGCGTTCAAAATTTCCTTGAAAACTGAGGGGCAGAGATGAAAAAGCTGCAGATTTAATCATGTAGGGACAGGAGGATAGAGTGGCGAAGAGTGACACGGAAGATAACGCTACATCAAAGGAAGTGTTAAGATAGAGGGTAACGTGCTAATAATTGTTTCATTACTCTATGCTACTGTTACGAGATGATGTGCAACAATGAACTCTGCCAAGCGATCAACATCAAGAGTAAAAATAAAATTTACGAACTGGGATATTCATTGAAAAATGGAAGATTGAAAGATTTCTCGATATTTAGAAGCAAGAAAGATTTAAAGATTTTTCAATATTTAAAAACACGGTTTGTTAATGATGTGCGTGAATCATACTGATATAAGAGATAATTAAATACTTTAGAAACAAGTACAGAAATTTTTCTGGAAAAAATTATGGACGATTTTTGAGGCTACGTGCCCTTAATTTCTTGAAATAACGGAGTGCGAAAGAAAATTTGCCATATCTAAAAAATACATTTATATATCAAAACGACCTAAGTACGATGTCGAGAGTAATTTGAATATGAATTTGTTTAATATGTACCACGTTAAATGATGGAAATGATTTATTAACTGTTCGATATTCAGTTGATTCGTAAATTCGATTGTACCAGCATATAGAGAGAGAGACAATTTTCCAATAATCGCCGAATTGAAATATTCTATATGAGATAGAAAAAAAATTGAAACAAGGGAAAAAATTAACCCTGTGCGAATTTTTAACACTGAAGTTCTATCATATGGAATAATGGAATATTCGATGATACGTGAACGAGAAATATATGCTTCCTTATTTTCTATTATTTAAATGAAGAAATTATAAAATCAATATATATGTGAAACTCTGAGAATCATGTGCTTTATGGAAACATTGCATATATGTCTTACGAAACATATCCTAATCCTTCAAGCGAAGCAAGAGAGTAATCGAAACAAAATGTACAGCTAAACGTACAACTGTTTATGTAAAAAAAAAGTCTGCTGGCAAGGACAATCTTTCACGTATTTATATTTATACCGACGTAGGATGTTTACACGTTCCAAGAGCAAATTGAAAATATGTAATTTGCACGGCACATCATGTAAGAAACTACGAGGAAAGCAAAAAGACAATGCAACTCGCGAAATGTTGACAACATGTAAATATAAGACAAACGAGAAGTGATTGAGAAAGAATTGAAATCGACGAGTTTCGCGAGCATCCAATCGTTCATCGTTCGTTGGATGCTATAAAACTTCCAGAGTTCACTTGAGGCGACAGATGTGTACTGGAAGTCGCCAGAGAACGACGACAAAGAGTAAACTTACATCCACGCGCATGTCCAAACTGTATTTCCCTCTTTTCTACAACGGCGACGGTTCAAAGAATCTGGAAAGGAAATAACATCGTTGTGCTCGAGCGACGAATCGTCACTCGCTCGAATCTGGGAGCCGTGAAACTCCCAGCGAGCACACGTCGATCAGCACCGCTGCCCCAACTAGGAACGGAGCAATATCTGGCTGCGACTGGCCCCCCTAAATGTTTTGACACTGAGTGCGTTAGGGTGCCGAGGTGGGGGGCGCGTGGTCTTGCTGCCTGCCGTGCGCCGGCGGCGGCGGGGGTGGGGGTGGTGTCGCTGTCTCGGGAACTACCCCCGAGGTTAAGAAGAGTTCCGGCTCGCTGAAGGAGTATCAGCAGTATCAGCAGTATCAGCTGCCCCACCAGCAGCCCGAGTATCAGCACAAAAATCCGCAGCTGGAGCAGCGTCAACAGCCGAAACGTATCTGCGTGGCTCAGATTAAGGAACGCGCGCCGCTCAGCAATCTTGACGAGGATTTGGACGACGACGAGCTCGACGACGAGGAGAAGGAGTGCGAGTTAAGGATATATGAAGAGGAAGATTACGGAAGGGAGAGCGGCACTCAGCATCGGCTTAGCCCGCGGCTGCACGACATCGAGGAGGAGGACGATGAAGAGGGCCGTCACGTTCGAGAGAGGTCAGTTGTTAAGTCCAGTTTCGTGGCCTTTTCGCGTCTCGAGCATTATTTCTCGTTAAAGATATATTTACGCTGTATGTACGAGATTTCACGAGATCGAATACATCGTATCAAAGCGCGTGAGTTTATTTCCTCGATTTAGACGTGAACTTAATAAACAGGTTCAATGAAGATTGGCATTGAGCGAATTTCAATGTGATTAGAGATGCTTTTTACCAAAATTACGTTAAACTTTTATATTCGGCGTTTTCTTCGTTAAACACGTTCGTTCAATTATTATTCAATTGACGCACAATTATTGGGTTACGGATATTGATTTTTAACGGTGCTTAATTGTTGCATGTCTCATTAACGTAAACATATCGCGTGATGTAAACAAGGCTTTAAGTAGTTAATTGCCGATTTAATTAAATATTCTGCTACGAGATATCGATAGAATGTATTAAATTTCGTGAATGTATTTAATTAATGACGCTTTCCTCTATGATTGCAATTACTGTTCGCGGTACGGTATATATACGCGTAATTCATGCATTATCGTTATATTACGTATATTAATATTGTTAAGTATTTCACGCACTCAATGTAACATATATTCATTCATCTTGTAATTTTCCGCGATTAAATTTATTTACGTATTTAAACAGTTGATACAAAATTCTGTAGGGGAAAACTTTTGCGATTTTATTTACAGTTAACTACAAATTATTCACATATAGAAATATATTCTCCCTTTACGCATTATTTTCTTTTTGCATTGCTCAACTGGGTACTTTAAACATATTTCTACAGACTGTGAGACATCTGTTGTTGCGAAAATTTATATTAGTTGGAAAACAAACTTTCTCTCGCCTGGGTCATATATGAACACGTTGCAATTTCACTGCCTCGAAACTGACACATTTCTCAATATTATGCGCTATATTTTGGCGTTGCAAACATATATCAAACTTATGTCCGTTTCACGTATCGACATCGAGAGCGAATCGCATTTACTTGTCTGACTTTATGCTGCTCACTCAATTTAACTGTACGTTACCATTGCAAAAGTTTGGATTAGTTTCTTTGAAAATCTGGGTGAAAGAAAAGAGAAACTTATTAATACGTCAGGAAAGCGATTTTGCGTCAGTAAATAAATACCTATATGAAATCGAGAGTATACGAGATAAATCTGTCCTTTTTTTTTGCGTAGCAGCATGAATGTAATACAATATAGTTGTATGCGGCAAAACAAAATATATCTTTTTACCTACTAGGTAATTCAGAACGCCAATGATAAAATTTATCTTTATTATATGCATTTTGCTGTCCCCATATCACATATTGTCCCCGTTCTTTTCATTTGAAAATGAAATCTGCGGAATCGCGGAAATTCTATACCGAATATCTGATTAAAGCTTCAACTCTCTCTATTACTAATACTGAAATACGTGTATCCATATACCGATTGATCCATCTAGTTCAATTTATTTAGCATGGTTACGCGAGGCTATTGTGCTCGCGGAGAATAGCAAGATCTTCGATAGCCGGCAAAAGATCATCTCGAGGATGGGGAAATTTAATCTGTGCCGGTCGGCTATTCATACTCCATATCCGATTAAACGTTACAACTAGTTCGCGCATTGATTGCTTTGCGTTCTTGACGTAATTGCCCGTGGGTAGACACCGAGACCTGAACGGGCGACCGCTCATCGACCTTCTATATCCAACTTTCGGACTATTTCCTTCCATCGTTTGCCCGTCTCTTCTGTCTCGGGCTTTCCTTTTTCAAAGCTCTTCGAACAATGAACATATTTTTAGTTCCCCCAATCTTGCGCATGCGTATTAGAAATATGGTTTATACGATTTGAAAATGAAAATCGAAGAAAGTGTAGGGAATGGATGGAGGAGCGAACTGTTTTTTTTTTCAATTTTTTACGAAAGATTTACGAGGATAACAAGGATTTTCGATTAGATTAGTAACGCTGAAACGTTTTATCAATGCGGAGAAAGTGAAAGATATGACGAAAAAATTATATAATAGTCTCTTTTTTTTAGATAATTTCTATTAATATGTTTTTTAAATAAGGATGCTAAAAATATAATATTATATTTGGAGAAAGCACTCAAAAATAATTTATTTAAAAATTAAGAGAAAGATATGAAAGAAATAAATAATTTCTTTCATTTCGTTTCGTAATATTTTTTTACTTATTATACGATATAATCTATATTGAAGATTAGTAATTGATAAATACGGAAATTAAATGTATCACGCGTTAATGCAGGATTTAATATAACTGGAATGAAGGGAAAAGCAAATAGGATATATTGAGAGACTAGGCTTCATTGATTTGCCCGTTGGATATTGTGAGCTGTATTGTAGACCTTTGGATATTCGTACGAATGTGTTGAATCAAAATGTGATACATAAACATTGCACGTGTATGTATTCATGTGAAGTTCTATTGTCATTTAATATCGGATACGTTAACAATGTGAAAGAGACATCTGACGCACAGTGAAACAAGAAAAAATATGTAATTTTTTTTCGCTCGTCACAAAAATACGTAAATGTACTATATAGTAGGTAACGTATTTATAATAGTGTTGTTACGTATGTTTTTCTATGTTTTTTTCAAAATTTTTCCATGGAATATTCCCTATTTTACTATTATTTGAAGTGATTTATATTAATGTGTCCTTGTTACAAATTTTTTTGACAAGAATTATAAGAGAATTAAATCGGAAATAGATGTTATTTGAGAGTATTGAATCAAGCGTATAAAAATCAATAACATTTCTTAAAATTAATATTGTGCAATGTGATTGAAGATGTTTTTAAGAGAAATAAAGTTGACTATTTGGAGTATTTGAGCAAATACATATAAGAAATTGGAATAAGAATATCGGGAGAGCACGCTTTGCTTGCGTGAAAGACGGTCAATAGCTTCAGATCGTCGGGGTGATATATGCGCGTCATGACTATCCAATCAGCCGCAGGAAACATCGAGACCGTGCCCGAAATTTCCTCGAGTGGATGCTACCTATACTAAATGGAATTACGGGGATGCAGGCGATGCGGGCCAACAGGAACATGTGTATCGGGAGTGCGAAGCTTCAAAAGCTTGTCGTTTGATCTTATCATTTGCCAGGATGTCCCTTCGATAATTGCGTAAAATACGCGACTGCGTGAAAGGATCATTAGTCAAATGTCTATTAATGTCAGACTTTATTCGGACAGGATTATCATTTTCTTCATTATTATACAGTGTTAGATAAGTAGGTGTTACATTTTCTAGACTAATTTCAATAAATATTAAACTTTGCTTAAAAGTTTGATTTTTTGTTTTTAAAGCTTTCCATCGTTTGAATTATTTTTGTGTGAAAAAATTATTATTTTTTTTTTTTAGTCTATATACATATATATAATGGATTTACATCATAGATATTAATTGTTTAGATATTGTTCGTTCTATATTTTCGGATTGGCAGAACCGATGCATATATCTATGTATAGGTATGCCTATATTCGCCCAGAAAACGATCGATTCGATATTACTTGTTTAGCATTGATTGTGGTTTTCCAGTTTATAACGGTCTAACAGTAATGATGAGTATCCATCGGTTTACGTTAATGGCCATTGCTGTTAAGCATCTAAGCGCATACGTGGATTATCAGGCGATTAGCTAATTTAGATGTGAAATGATCGATAAGTACGCAATTACATGCCTATGACATCGATGCGTTCAGCTCAAGAGATATTTTCATTGGTTTATGTGATTTATTCATCATTTTCGGCATTTTGCACATATGTTATTTATGAAAATTTATAAGATTATAATATTCACACTACATGTTGCATTATTACGAAGATGGAAATGATTAAAGTAGGAACGTAAACTTGAAGTATAGCCTGCAGGCAAGCTTTCTCAGATTACTTAAGAAAACATGATTGAACCAATAATTAACTTGTCTCAAGGAAGCTAAAGCAACTGATGTAATTAACGTAGGAAATATTTATAAAACGTTTGCCTTATAGGTAATGTAAGATCTTATATACTTAAAAACGTAATGTATACTTATAAAAAAAAGAAATTTATTATAGGATTGAATAAGACTGAACTTGACAATCGCGAGTCATTAATTGATTATTTATTGATTTTTTCTTCTTTTTTGAAAGGGAGAGAAATTCTTTGTATTAAAATTAAATATTGCACACTGACATTAAATTAAATCAGATATTTCAAATTTAACAAAACTTTTAGATATAAAGTTAGATATAAAGTAAAGTTGTGTTTTTTCAAACCGTCGTTCTACATATCAATTCTACATATTGATTCTAGTCGAGTGTCTTGTTTCATTCATGCCATTTTGCTGTGCTGAGGAAAATAGGTTAAAATAGAAAAGAATAAAATATTTTAGTCTCATTAGTTGATTATGAAAGCTTCGACTGAAATAATATTTTATAAGTATTTAGTTATTTACATAGATATTTTAATAACTTTATCACTAATGTACACATAAATACTATTTTAAGTTAAATATTTTCTTTCAAACTCATGAATAAATCGAAAATAATATTTATTATGCAAGTTATTTTAAATATTTTATAATATTTATACACATAAATCATTTTTTGCATAAATGCTCATTTTCTTCACTACACATATATAAACAGGAATTTTTATTATTAAAATAAAATAAATGTAAATAATATTAAATTAATATATAATTAATTATAAATGAATAATAAATAAAAAATAATTAATAATTATTAAAATAATTATATATCAATTTCTAATGACACAATTAAGCTTACAAATAACTCATTTATTTGTTTTACATAAAACACATTTTTCAAATACATATATATTATTCATTTTATTATAATTATGTAACCACATAATCGAATATAACAAGTGAATGATTTTTATTTTGTAATGTTTTTTTTAATGAGTTGCATCTGTATATCTATGAAATATCTATGAAGTATCTTCTCTATTTTACATACACACTTAGTTTATGAAAATAATAAATAACTAATTGAACATCTTATTTATGATATCAATTCAACCGTAAAGTGAATGTTTTAATTTGAATGCAGCTACATCTTAAATATTATTTGCTCATTATATAAATAATATTTTGTATAGCTATATTTTTTGTTGAATATTTCAAATTTATTTCAAATTTTCCTCAGCACTGCCGTTTTGAAAGAGATCTAAACGATGATTATTTTAAATGTAGAAGTTATTCTGCCGCTTTTCATCATTGTAAAATTAAATTTCGGTGCAGTTTTATACATATCTCGATAGCTATGATCGGTGTAATTGGTTTTGCGAATACGATATGCGAGTATCCAAGAGAACTCGTTGATATGGCAAATATTCGATTGTCCTGATTGTTTTTTCTTCTTTTTTCGCGAAATTGCATATATAAGGCCCCAAGATTAATTCATGGAAGAGCGTTGTATCGATTTGCGCGGAATCGAGTAATGGATAAACTATTTTAAGCGCAACCTCGCTCGCGTGAGTTTTTATATTTCATACGCCGCATTCACGATGTTGTCTATCTTCGACCTGAGAATGTGGGGCGAGAGTCGTTGCCAGAGAGCGAGATTTTGAATTATAACGCCATAATGGTCGTATCCTATTTGCCGCGAGATGGATCATCTAGTAAGTTAATTCCGAGGTGAATCTCTCGTATAATTAGAACGCGCGAGAAGCGAATCTGTATAGAAGAGAAGCGGTGAGGTGGTGCATACATCTCTCCATCGCGTCTCGGTGCAGTAGCGAGTGTGATTCCGAGGTCGAATCGAGGCGGAATTTTCGCCAACTATATCGGTAGATATGACAGGTGGAGCGCGCGAATACAAAGTGACTATTTCCTTCGACGTTATTCGAGATTTCAGTTCCGCGTATTAGCCGCATGTACGTATATATAGAGATATGTACGAGCTCTTTGTATGCCGTTACATATGTGCATATGCAGGGATTCGCTATGTAACGCAGCGTGATGCAGTCGGCGGGAGATTTTGGTATTATACCGGAATGACTACATTTCGAATTTCTCTCTCTTTCTTTTTCTCTTGCGATTGGCTCACGTGTACAGTCAATCGGAGATAAATCAGAAATTCGCGCGCGTGCCTCGACGCATATCGATCGTTACGGTATATACGCCGACTTATTCTGCGTTGCAAGGCAACCTGTTGATGTTTCGCGCGCCGTTAAAATCGCGATCGGCCACAATAGGCGGCAGATATAGGATCGATTTAACGACAATGCGATAGCAAAAATATCGCGCGGCGATATATATGCAACGATATGTCGCGCCCGCGGATTGTGTTCGCGGATTACGTTGACGCGTTTCGTGGACGTGCGCCCTATAGGTATATGCCTGTTACTTTGACAAATATGTCGAGAATTCCCATATCTAAACATTATGCTCACCGGTGAAAAGCAGCGCGGGTGCACACGTGTGCGGGAAACATCAGCCGGGATTGACGTAATGTCGTAGAGACTGGTTAGCTGCCTCTTGTCGACAATAACTCAGGATTTCCCGACCTAGGACATACGTCTTTACGCGTGAATGCATACAAATGCGCGAACAGGGGATAACATATGAATGCTAATATTCAGAAAGCCGCGGATCGATTCGATTAATTCGCGCTGAGCGTAAATAAAATGACACTATAATAATAATTAATTAATGATTCGCTATTAAGCAGTCATTGTGCGTTGATAAACGTGTCATTTGGTTTATTGGAAATATTTGTCACAATAAAAGTTTAGAATTTCAGACGTATCAAATATCTTTCTTAAATATTTATTCAACTGCGAGTTATTATTACGCTTCTACGAATTATTATATGGAATGTTTTTCTCTCGCAATCTTGAGCATTTTCATCGCGCTTATAAATGCAAAATTATTGAAACGAAACTTTGCCAACTAATACTTTATTATAAATGTTTCCGCCGCGTAATGTGCGTAATTTATGATAGACCGTGAGAAATAATTAGCAATTTAAGTCTATCCCTTAGTTATCTGGGCGATACGCCAGTATTTACAAGTCACTTCGTTTCTATCACCAACTCATTTGTTTTACGTTTATTTTCGTTTTACGATATATTTGAATGCTTTTGCACGTTACGATATATTTTTGTCATTTTGAATTATCTTTATCTTTACACGGAAAGAACTTTTTCTTAAAATAAAAACGTAGATATTTGAGAATCGCCAGATAGAATTTAAAAAAGAAAAACTCTTCTCTCATAATTCGTCTAAGAGTCTTGACGTGTTGTCAAATCGACACTATATTCGTTCTTGACATCTTAAAATTATAATTTTATTTTTATTTTCACAAATCACTCGATTAGGACTCAAAGAAGGGTCGAAACGTTGTGATTTAATTTATAATGTTTGCCAGTACGGTCGAGAGAAGAGTTTTTCTTTTTTCTTAAAATTTATCCTGAAAATCCTGGTAATCGTGCGACAATATGGTACTGGAAGAATCTTATAAGAGTTTCTCTGATTAATATTTACCACAAAAAATAGTAAAATTTACTATGTACATAGTAATATTTTCATTGTGCTAAATATTAATCAGAGAAACTTATAAGATTCTTCCACTACCATATTGTCGCGCGATTACTATGATTTTCAGGGTAAATTCTCAGAGAAAATTCTCTCTGTGTACGTGCTCTGATATTTTTATTACTTTGAATCAGCTTTACGTTGCCAAATTATTTCTCTTTTTTATTATTTTGATCACAAATCAACTCTATAGGTGTAAACGAATTGCACATGTAAGGCACAATCTCACGATCAATCATATTCGCGTTTTCTTGTTTCTTTTTGTTAAAAGTTTATTACTACTTGTTGCCCAACGGGGACTTCATGTTAAGTGAAGCTTCTGGGACCAAATGGTCCTTCTCGCCTTTATTTCAGTCATCGTATTACGCATAGCGACAGGCAGGAATAAAAAAAGTATAAAAGAAGCGACGGAAGATTTTACAGCGATGTCTCTCGGGAGCTCTCGGGTCTAGCATAATGCAAGTTACCCTTACCGTAACTCATTTTCTAAATATATGTATATACATTTAATCGAAACTAGATATGATAAGAATCTTGCGTGACGATTACGCTAATATTATGTCATATTTTACATATTATATGTATAACCTGTTTGACAATTATATGATTAAAATAATCGTGGAGATTAAATTAAAAGCATTGGCGTTCTGAGAACCTATATTCTATTGTTTTGTGAGATAAATGAGATAGATAATGAAATTGCTATCAGCGATTTATAATATGAGATATTAATTTAGGCATCTACGTAGTTTAATACGATGATTGAAGTTTGTTAATTATCGTAATTAATTCAAAAATCGTCTGGAGACGGTGCCGGAAAAGTTGAGCTTTGCCGTCACAGTATTAATTCTGTAATATGAACAGAAATGTAATGTGTGAATAGATATGAAGTTGGAATGAGATTTATGAATATTCATGACTGAGATAATTTGATAAAAATTCTTATTTAGTATTCTACTATAAACATTGCAAATTATGCACGCACACACACATATAGATGTCACGCGCTTATATCATTTTTTGCGGATGTTTTTTAATACAATTTTTCAAAGTTTAAACATCTCTCGTGAATTTTTTAATGTAAACAGTGGAGAAAAAAGGGAAATGTAGAATGAAGAGCAAAAAGCAAAATGTATTTAAGGGCGAGATTTTTCTAACGCAACAACAGATTGTCACGTCATCGTGTTCGTAAAAATCAAAGTTCAATCCTGAAAAAAATAATCAGCTTATTGGCAATTTAGGCCAGTTTAGGCGTGTTACATTTTGCTAAAATAACTTTAGAATTTTTTTTTAAACTAGAGCCGTACACAGATCCACATGGTCTGTTGCGTCGCTCGATACGGTAAATACGTTGGTATGCCAGCGTATGTTTTCAACGCCATTTTCAGACCTTATCTACCTAAAAAGTCGCCCACACAGAGCGGTAGCAGGAGCGGTTGGCGTTCCCGTAGGAGCGTCACGACGGCGGGCGCCTCCGGCGGGCACCAGCACCACGTGATCGCTAGTGCCGCCGCGACGGCGCAGGCTAGGATGCAGGCCGAGCAGGGTAGCATCGGCGAACTACGTGGTTATCACAACCTGCGTTCCCGCAGGCACACCTTGGCCAACGTACGGTGAGTGTCACGATTTTTCTCCTCAATTTTTATTCCGATCAAACGTCTCGATCAAGGTAGCAAACATATGTCGGAAGATGTCATCTGACATGAGAGAGGTGTATTTCGAGGTGATTTTTAAATATCTTTTTTATCAAATCAAAATCGTTCTTCGAAAAATACGTATTACAGCAAAATCAATCTTGCGTCTGTATATGTATAACTACTAATTTATTTTTTATGCGAATGGTGAATTGCCCCAAAAATTTTAAATCACATTTCACATATATATATATATATATATATATAGATGAAGCAATTACTTATTTCGAATTTGATATATATTTCGTCATATCATGTATATGTTAAAAAAAATAAATAAATATGTATATCAGATTTTATTTATTGTGTGTATGTATGTTGTAATACAGCAATGCAGTAAATAATGCAAGCAATGCAAAATTAAAAGCATTGAAAAAGCATTCGTTAATACAATGGAATTATTCGTATAGCATTGTAAGAATTATATCATCGAGAATAATCTCTTCTTTATTCTCTTTTTTAATTCACGTTATTTCAATCAGAAATCTAACGTGAGAAATTATTATTTATACATTTCGATTAAATTCTATAGAAACAGTTTTTCTTTTTTTATTGATTTCGTTGTTAGTTACTTTTTATTTCCCCTTTTTTATTATTATAAATATTAAAACATTAAATATTACGTTATAGCTATCACGTATATAGCAATAGTAATATTTAATAATATATTATAATATAATATAATATAAGTTTATTTTTTTATAATTTGTGATAAATTTTTATATTGCAATACATTTATTATTTTAATATTATATTGTTAAGTGAATAACATTTCATTAACAATAAATATATTATAAGATATTAAGATACTTTACTCTCAAATGTTTTATCGTACGAACCATACATGTTGTGTGTTTTATAATGAATGGAATAATAATAATTATGTGAGAGCTTTTAATCCGCGCAATAACAGTTTCCTTTTCTAATTGGCTCTGTGCTAGTTTTCTCTAACTTGTAACAAATGCAACTTGGGGATAATGGCTCTACAAATTTTTCTGGATTCTCTAAAATTGATTGCAAATTATCTCTTTTCTTTTGTTCAATTAAATTAGTCTTCCGCTTAGGCATTTTGGATAAGTAACCCTGATCTTTTTTCTCGATCTCCCTTTTTCGCGATGCCGAGCGACCCGATTTATCGATCGACAACGCGTAACCGCAGCTTTCCTGATCGCGAGAAATCTTTTCGACGATTTTCTCGATGCGATGCTTTTCGTGCGGCATCCTGCCCTGGATTTGCGCTTTACAATCAGGACACAATCTATCGTACGATATTGGGCGATCGATTTTAGGAGGACTAAATATACGCTTGATCGCAGCTACCGCCGGAGGCATTGCAGTTTTCGCATCAATCTGCGGTCGAACCTTCAATCTAGGTTTCGTCGACGATGGCGTCGAGATTTTACCGCACTGGCAACAGTTGCAGACCAACTTTTCCGTTTCGTCGGATCTCCCGCCATAATTAATCGTTCTAATCTCGCGTTCTGCGTTCGATCGCGCTAACCCGGCGGCGATCTTTATAGATCGTAAAAGTTCATCTGTGGTCACTCTCGCGCGTTCTCTTTCATCCCTTACAACTCGGTCGTGGCTAACGTGGCTCGTTTTATCCGTCTGTGATCCGGTGCTGGCGGTCGTGACGGTCGATTGGTCCTTTAAGCGTTTGCGCCAGAACATTTTTCGGCCGGTTATTTCAGGACGCTCGTCGGCGATTTCGGTGCTCGATGGTGCTTTTAACTCGGCCGCTTTTAAATATTCACTAATAACAAGTAACGGCAACGTACGGAATGTTTTAGGGGCGGAAACCGGTTGCGTGCTTACTTGTACGATCTCGGTTTCTACGATTTCGGTTTGCACGATTTTCGTTTGCTCGATCTCGGTTTGAGCGACATTCGTTTGCATGATTTCTAAGCGTTGCGCGGTCTCGACTGCTGGTTTTGGTTGCTGCAAGTGAAGAAGAAATGTATATTCAAAATATTTGGTAGCTATCATTAATAAATCAAATGTTCCAGAACAAGATAGGAAATTGCGAGTATATTGGAAGTGGTATTATTATTTATAGAATTTATCAAAATGAAATGAAAGAAGGTAGAATGATTTTTACTAACCGTACAACATTCTGTACATGGTAATTTCATCGGAGGTACAATCTGCAACAGTTCTTTTTCTTTTATTTGCGCTATAATTAAGTATGGCTGCGCCAATAATCGGGTATCGATTGGTATTGTTGGCGTTTCTATTTCGTCTGGTTTTATTTCAGCAACTTTTGGTTTAATCTTGACGAATTCTGGCTTTTTTTCTTCGACTGGTTCTCTTTCCTTTTTGTCTTCTATTAGTTTTGCGGGTAATGCAATTTTCGCCAATATTTCCTCTTTCTCTATTGACTCTGGTATTTTTTCTCTTTCTCTTTCTTCGAATAATTTGATGGGCGGTATAACTTTTTTTGGTATTTCTTTAATTTCTTCGTCTTTTTTCATTTCTGCTTCGAGCACAGGTTGTTTTATCATTTTGATTTCTTCTATCTCTTCTATTTCTTTTTGTATTATTGGTTCTGTTACTGGTTGGATTTCAATCTCTTTTTTTGTTATTATTTCTTCAATAGATTCTTTACTTATTTCAATTTCTGTGTCCGTAATCATTGGTACTTCTTTGCTTTCAATTTCTTTTTGTATTGTATCTATTATTGATGGTTCTTCAATTTCGACTTTTTTTTCTATTATCGCGTTTAAAGTTAATAATTCTTCCGTTCCATTCACAATTGGTGGAGCTTCTTCAATTATAATTTTTTCTCTTACTATGTCTGAAACCGGTTCTTCTTTAATATCTACGATTGGAAGTTTGCTAGGTTCGATTTTTTCTCCCTCAATTAAATCTACGGTTGGTGAAACTATATCTGCCATAATTTTTATTTCTGTTACATCTATTATTGGTAATGCTTCCTCTACATCTTGTTCTATTTCTGTTATTTTTACAACAGGCGGGACTTCTAAAATTTTCTTCGTTTCTACAATTCCCGCATTTTGCGTTTCTTCTCTGTCTGCTATTTCGTCAACTTGTGGGATTTCTTTCAATTTTTCCACGTCTTTTGCATGCTTACTTTCATCAATTTCTTCTGACATTGGTAATATTTTATTTATTCTTACTTCTTCTACTATTACTTTTTCTTTTTCTGTTACTGCTTCTTTTACTAGTACGTCTTCTACTTTTTTTTCATTTCTTTTTACGTAATCGGATATGATTTCTTCTTCCTTTTCTATTTTCCCAACTATCAATGTTTCTTTTTTATCTGTAGAATTAATTTTTTTATCATTTACCATTTCAATTGTTAACTTCTTATCTATTAAATCTTCGAATGTCGCGTCTTCTTTAACTTGAGATATTTCTATTTCTTTTGTATCATGTACGATTTCCTTGACTTGTGTTTCTTTTTTAATTTCTGTTTTTTCTATTTCTATTTTATGCGATACAGGCTCAATCGACGGGACGCTTTTTAAATCTTCCTTGACGGGAATTGTAGGAGACTGAAAGAAATTTTCTATTGAAACTGCCGTAGAAGGCTCCATATCAACTGATATTTTCTCTTTCGTATTAGATAATTCAGCTACCGGTTTCATCGGAGCTTTTATTTCCACTGATATTTCTTCAGAGCGAGGAGATGGTATTGATTCATTTTTTGTCGGTGGTTCCATTTTTTTGTCCTTCGGTACTATTAATTCGTTTTGCAATTTAGTTTCAATTATTAGTCCTTCTTTCACTTTTAGTTCATTTTCCTCAATCACCTTTTCCTGCTTATTTTCTACGATTGTTATTATGTGTTTCTCTTCCACTTTTTTAGGTCTTATCTGAGAATATATATAATTAGATTTCTAATAAATGTTGTATATAGCTTAAATACTGCAATTAATTTATTCTCAAATTTTTGCAAATTCTTTTAATCTTTAATTGTTAAATAATTTGCTAAAACTTTTATTGCGTGTTTATATTTATTTAATTATGTTTTTTATATATCGCACACATTTATTCACATTTATTATTATCATTTGTGAATTACAAATCTCATTACCCTAATCTCTTACCCCGACATGAGCACCAACTTGTTCGATTAAGATATCAGCATCTTTTTTCACTATGTGACAGTCAGGATGTTTCTAAATATAAAACAGAATATATGTATTATTAATATTAATATTAAGAAAAGGAAATATTGCATTTATTACATTACATTTTATATATGTAATATATTAACGTATATACAAACGTAACATATTACTAATGCACAATTTCTGTATATTTATATAATTGCAATATTTCTTTATTTAAATTATAATACAAATTGTATACCGCTGCTGACGTGCGAATTGTATTAATCATGTCGATCCACAATAGAATCGTATCTCGTTGTATAACGATGTCCTGGTCGGTGTCGATCTTTTTTACTTCCAGCGCTTTAACGTCATTCGGTATTGTTATCGGCTTATCATCCTCAATTTCTTGAATTTCCTGACGCGTTACGATTTCTCTAACAGGCACCTCCATAGCTTCTATAATCTGTTCTTTTGCTTTGGTGACAATTTTCTCTTCAATTTCGATTTTCGAAATGTCATTCGCTTTTTCTTCTTTTTTCTCGGTATCATCTACGTCGTTCGCTCCTTCTACTAATTCTTCTCGAAATTGCCTCTCACGTTCCTCCTCATCCGCGACTAATTTTTCATCAGGTTTCTTCGGAGGACCCACGCCCAACACAATCAATTCCTCATCTGTCATGCCAGTAGGCGAGGCTACCACGTCGTTGCACGCGAAATCAGGCGCGCACGGCACACCATCCTCATACAGTTCTTCTAACGAACCTAACTTGCTTAAGTATTCCCGAACTTTTTTTAATCTCCGTTGCTCGTAAGCGAAATCTTCCGGTCGAACTACACTTT